AAAGCCCACACAGTATGGTAAAACCAACAATCAACATTTAATTTGTATGACTTTTTCATATTAATAAATAATAATATGTATATATTTGTCGCTACAAGAAACAAAACAAACATTTGTATGATTGTATTTAGCTTTTAGTCTATTTCACGCAGCCTTCTTCTATCTTCGTGAAATAATTCACCCCCTCCTGTCACGTCCCTGTTACTTTGTCACGCGATATTTGTACGGAATGTTTTGAAAGACTCGTGAGCAAAATTTTACATGGTGATAAAATGGCGTATTTCTTATATTTTGTTTAGATTTTTTAGTTTCCTCCTGTTATAAAGGGTTAAATTTATTATTAGTGGAATGGAAATGGCTTGGATGGAAGAGTAACAAGGCTGAATTGTTAACAAGCGACATGGGATGACAAAATGGCGCCGAATTTGGACAAAGTTGTGGATTTACCTTGTCGATGGTTAAACAGGTATGATCTACTTGAAACCAAGTTGAAACTTGTTTAAAATGTTCTTGATACCATTATGTCTGAGATGATTTACATTTTTTGTAGGATGTCGACGAGATCGCTGATAAACAGCGGAGTAAAGTGGAGAACTTGGCCAAATACGTCCATTTGCAGGAGGTAGGCACATTTCAAATTATTATTTCGGTCAGAAAATATTAACTATTTTACACCAAACCAGTGATAATATATTTAAATAAGTACCATTTATGTTTCTATCAAAAAGATTTAGGGAAAAAGGTAATGTAAGTCCACTGCTGTTTATCTGAATTTGCAAGCCACAAATTGACGTTTAACTATGATTATTGCATGGCCATTTTCTTGTGAAATATTAGTGCTAGGCATTTCACACTTACCAATGACCACCCCCAAAAGTACCATCTCTGAACCATATAAGCACCTCAGAATAGCCAAAGCTTTTATGGTTTGGTAGATAGCAGTATGGCGAAAGCGTCGTTTTTGGGTGTGGTCAGTTTCGGACGTTTCGCCCCGGATTGGGGTTCGGGCAGCGTTACCATGTTGACCGTCATGGTCAACTTACCCTAAAACAGTTGAGATTATCTGTCCTAAATGAAATGCATACAAACTCATATACAGGTCCTAGACTAATATAGACTTATACAAACAATAATTTTACTGAGTCCGCCATCTTGAATATTCTCTCGTCGTGGTCGCCACTATATTGTTCTTACATAACGTTCTACTTCTAACTCTCTCACAATTTGAGCAGTTCGTGCCTTTGTGCGTGGTATCCTCGCAGTACACACAACCTCGTTCTCGCGTGTCGCGTCCCGAATCCTTTGCATGGAAAAACTTCGATCTTGAACCTTTCCCGCCTTTTAGTTGATCTTTTGGCTCTGATTTTTCCTCGATCGGATTGATATCTTTCCACTTTTTCAGCTCTTTTAGAAGATCATCAAAGCTCCATTTTTGCCGCCAGCCTTCATTTCCGCGTACTAGGTCTGCTTTTATTCCCTTTAACTTGTCCAAAGTTGCTCGCACATTTCCTCTCACATCATCTAATTTGCCAAGTGTATCAAGACTTTGAACGTTATATCTCAGTTGTTTATAGAAATCGTGTATTTTAGTAGGATTTGTCCCTGAAATTACGAGTGAGGTCGCACTGTTTCAAAGGTTGTTGCTGATTGGTTCATAGGTGTGATGTGGTGGTCGTGGTGGTCGGCCAATCATATTGATTTCTGATAAAAGCTTATTCAAACATTAACTTAATTAACACATTAAATATTAATTTATTACTAAAAATGGTACAATAATAGTGAAAACGAATCGTCATGCAGTTTGATATCAACATAATTACATTTAATACACTCTGGGACATATTGCATTTGGGACTTATGAGTTTAATGCAAGTGGAAGCTATGGTCGACCTAGCAATGCATTGATATTGCTGATTTATAAAGGTTATTACTCTATTATAAAGATTCAGTACAAATGGAAGGCTAGTACAAGATATGTATGTATGTATGTATGTATGTATATATAATATATATGTATGTATGTATGTATATATAATAATATTTGTGATATATGATGGTTGTTTTAATATCAATAATATTGCTCTAAAAAAATAAAATTTGCAGGATAGTACAATATATATGCAGCAGTAGCCAGTAGCAGTTGAGGTAGTGAGGCGGTGGTGGCAGTGGTGGCGGTGGTAGCAAGCCAATAATATTTGTGATATATAATGGTTGTTTTAATATTAATAATATTGCTCTAAAAAATAAAATTTGCAGGATAGTACAATATATAATGCAGCAGTAGCAGTTGAGGTAGTGAGGCGGTGGTGGCAAAGGTGGCAATGGTGGCGGTGGTAGCAAGCCAATAATATTTGTGATATATAATGGTTGTTTAATATTAATAATATTGCTCTAAAAAAATAAAATTTGCAGGATACTACAAGTACAATATATATGCAGCAGTAGCAGTTGAGGTAGTGAGGCGGTGGTGGCAGTGGTGGCGAAGGTGGCAATGGTGGCCGTGGTAGCAAGCCAATAATATTTGTGATATATAATGGTTGTTTAATATTAATAATATTGCTCTAAAAAAATAAAATTTGCAGGATAGTACAAGTACAATATATATGCAGCAGTAGCAGTTGAGGTAGTGAGGCGGTGGTGGCAGTGGTGGCGGTGGTAGCAAGCCAATAATATTTGCGATATATAATGGTTGTTTTAATATTAATAATATTGCTCTAAAAAAATAAAATTTGCAGGATAGTACAAGTACAATATATATGCAGCAGTAGCAGTTGAGGTAGTGAGGCGGTGGTGGCAATGGTGGCGAAGGTGGCGATGGTGGCGGTGGTAGCAAGCCAATAATATTTGCGATATATAATGGTTGTTTTAATATTAATAATATTGCTCTAAAAAATAAAATTTGCAGGATAGTACAAGTACAATATATATGCAGCAGTAGCAGTTGAGGTAGTGAGGCGATGGTGGCGGTGGTGGCGATGGTGGCGAAGGTGGCGGTGGTAGCCAGCCAATAATATTTGTGATATATAATGGTTGATTTAATATTAATAATATTGCTCTAAAAAAATAAAATTTGCAGGATAGTACAAGTACAATATATATGCAGCAGTAGCAGTTGAGATAGTGAGACAGCGGTGGCGATGGTGGCAATGGTAGTATGGTGAAGGCAGGGCCATTCCTAGCACGATAATTGGGGTCGGGTGGGGGGGGGGGTATATTCATATATTTGTGTTCTGCCAAGGCCTCGAAATAAGTGCCAGTCACTGACCGGTAAAAAGTCACAGTTTGACCGGCAAATCTTGTCGCCTGGCGGACATACGTGACCAGTAAATTTTTTAATAAAAAAGTACGTTAAAAAATGGAGCAGATTTTTATTTCCAATTTTCCAAAGAAGCGTATATGTCCGTCTACAGTGCAGGCAAATAATGGCGGCGAAGTGACACATTTTGTCATACATGCAGATACGATATACCACAAGCATTGTACCTAAGGGGCGGATAATTTGACTTTGGGGGGGGGGTTGGAAGATTTCAAAAAAAATATTCCTGCAACCCAAGGAGAAAGAAAGAAAAAATCATGCAGCATACAATCGAGAAAAAAAATATCATGCAAAAAGGGGCGCTCAAAAAAATATTCTTGCATGTAAATCTACTGAAGCTTTTCACTTCAGTATTGTATCCACAGGCTTGAAAGATTTTGCATTTTTGAGCAGCTAGCACATTCACTTAAAAGAACACTGGGTGAACAGTGGACAGCATCACAGGGATAGCCAGTCGGACATTCCCTGGCAAAATTGTTGCCCTTTATATAATAAACAGAAAAATACATGGGCATGGGCGTCAATCCTTGGGGGATGGGGGGGACATGTCCCCCCAGTTTTTGGAGTAGGGGGGACGAATATCTAATTATCCCCTCCCCACTTTTTGACATGTTTAATGAAATTTTGTTTCTTGGTTATCTAAAAACCTAATGCATGGTCAGTGCTGTGCTTCAAGAATTGTGATTGAATGGAAGACATTTAATAAGAAGTACAACGTATGAT